AAGCGAAACAGAGAGAGAGAGAGAGAGAGAGAGAGAGAGAGAGAGAGAGAGAGAGAGAGAGAGAGAGAGAGAGAGAGAGAGAGAGAGAGAGAAGAGAGCTAACATAGGCGTTTTGTAAACAGAGTACTTGTGATGCTTATGGGAGAGGGGAAGGGAGGGGGGGGGGAGAGGGGGTAGAAATGGAATGCATCAGACGAGGAATTGGAAGGGGAGCGGGGGGGGGGGAGGAGGGGAGAGGTAAAGGTAAAGGAAATAGGAAATACGCCGGATGTGTGGCGAGTAAAGTGAGGAAGTGGAAAGTGTGATCCTTTTTGGGTAGGCCTACGGAAGAAAAAGAACCGTTTTTTGCTCTGTTTGCTTTTGTTTTCCTTGATAGTGTTATGTTGTTCTTTCTTTCTCGTCCCCTCCTCTCTCTCTCTCTCTCTCTCTCTCTCCTCTTCTCTCTCTCTCTCTCTCTCTCTCTCTCTCTCTCTCTCTCTCTCTCTCTCGTCTCTCTCTCTCTCTCTCCTATTCTATCCTATCTATCTATCTATCCCTCTCCTCTCTCTTTATTCCCTCTCCCTTCCCTCTCTCTCCATCTTTTCCCTCTCTTTTCCACTCCTCTCCTTCCCATCTTCCCTCTTCTCCTCTTCTCCTCCTCTTTTCCTCCCATTCCCCTCCCCTTTCCCTCTCTCTCTCCCTTTCTCCACCTCCCTCTTAAATACAGACAGATGTCGAAAGTCCACATTATTATAGCAATCTCGTGACATCGGGCTCTGGGTAACAATGCAGTTTGGCGTGTGCTGTGTACTTAGTTAGGAAAGTTGCGAATGCTGCCATGTTTATTTTTCGATGCAGCTTAGACGTTTGGTGTCACGATGCAGAGAATGGTTTAAAGTCGGTTAATAGGAGGTGAGGGTGAGGGTGAGGGAGAGGAGAGGGAGGGGTGAGAGAGGGAGGGTGAGGGTGAGGGTGAGGGTGAGGGTGAGGGTGACGGGAGAGAGTGAGGGAGAGAGTGAGTGAGGAGTAGTGAGTGGGGGGGGGTGGCAGGCAGGCAGGCAGGCAGGCTGGCTGGCAGGCTGGCTGGCTGGCTGGCTGGCAGGCAGGCTGGCAGGCAGGTAGGTTGGTCCCGAGATCGTCAAAATAATTCGATTAGAGAAAGACACCTGCTGGAGGAAACAAAAAAGAAAGAGGGAGAGAAACAGAGATAGAAACGCTGGCACAAAAACGCAGACACAAATACACAGATATAGATACACAGACACAGTGGTAGAAACACAGAGAGAGACAGAGACAGAGAGGAAAGAGAGAGACAAGGGGGAAGAGAGACATAAGAAAGAGAGATACATAGGAAGGAGAGAGAGTGAGACAAAAGGAGAGAAGGAGAAGAGAGACAAAGAAAGAGTAGAAGGAAGAGACACAGAGACCTGGACAAAGAAAACGTGACGGTGTCCACGGAAAGCCGAAAGTTCGGGAATACCGTGACAGCGAAACGTCCTTTTTAACACGAGTCGGTACGGACGTAATTGGCTTGCCCTCGACCGAGCGCCATTTTTCTTTACATTTGTTTGACGGAGAATGTTATAATTGATAATTTTTTATATTTGGTTTTGTGATTATATTTTTCCTTATATTTCGGTGGTAAGTGAGCGCTATAATGGGAAATCTTTAATATCACGTAATAATATAATATATTTTTTCTTATATAATGATATTTTATTCTCGTATAATTATATTTTTATGTCATATATATTATATTTATTCACTTATATTTTATTCTCAATATGAATTACGAATTTTTTCCAGATGAGTGCTTGACGTTCCGATATATATATTGCATCAATTATTTGGAATTGCTTCGAGTCTTTCTTAAATTTTTGCGCAGTTTGTCACGATCAAATTAATTTATCTTCGTCTTGATCAAAAGCGAATTAAAAAATGTATGAAAACAAGAAATTAGATAAGTTTTTTTTTTTTTTTTTTTTTAAGAGGAGGGTAAAGAGAGAGAAAAATAACTAGGTAGTGAAAACAAAACAAAAACAAACAAACGAAAAAAAAAATGTAACGAGAGACCTTTTAGTTGATATTTTGGAAATACCGGCGGAATGCTGGTCTTTCCCCCCACCATCCATCCACCCCCCCCTCCCCTCTCATTCACCCCCACCATCCACGCGCCCTCCCCTCATTCACCCCCACCATCCACCCCTCTCACCCCCCCACATCCACCCCCTCACTCACCCCCCCCATCCACCCCCTCCCCCCTCACTCCCCCCACCCTCACCCCATTCAATCCCCCACCATCCACCCCCTATTCCCCCCCCATTCACTCCCCACCATCACGCCCCTCTCCCCCATTCACTCCCCACCATCCACGGCCCCTCTCCCCCTCACTTACCCCCCATTCATCCAACCCTTCTCCCCCCACCATCCACCCCCACCACTCACCCCCCCACCCCCCCCTCACTCACCCCCACCATCCACCCCCTCTCCCCCTCACTCACCCCCACACTCCCACCATCCACCCCTTCCCCCTCACTCCACCCCCACTCCCTCTCCCCACCCCATTCACTCCCCACCATCCCCCCTCCCTCTCCCCTCACCCCCCCCCCCCCATCGCTGTCGCCGTGGGTTTTTGCGTCCTGTCTTCCTTCATTTTGTTTTGTTTGTGTCTCTTTTTTTTTCGCGTGTGTGTGTTCACCCTTCGCCGTTATCGTTATCTTTGTTTTCGCGTGGTTCTGGTTTATCTTTTCCTGTTCCTTCATTTCTTCCTGTCATTTCTTCGCCTCTCCTTCTCTTCCCTCGCCCACTGGACGGGCGTGTGCAACACCGATGGGTTATGCAGTGTGTGTGTGTGTGTGTGTGTGTGTGTGTGTGTGTGTGTGTGTGTGTGTGTGTGTGTGTGTGTGTGTGTGTGTGTGTGTGTATGTATGTTGTATGTATGCATGTGTGTGTGTGTGTGTGCATGGCTTTTAGCGTATTCGAACGGAGAAGAAGGAAGAAGAGAAAGAGAGAAAGAAGGAGGAGGAGGAGAAGGAGGAGGAGGAGAGAAGGAGGAGGAAGAGGAAGAGGAAGAGGAGAGAGGAGAGAGAGGAGAGGAGAGGAGGAGGAGAAGAAGGAGAGAGGAGAAAGAAGAAGAGGAGAGAGAGGAGAGGAGAAAAAGAAGAGAGGAGAGAGAGGAGAGGAGGGAGAGAGGAGGAGGAAGGTCAACATTCCGCGATTGCAGCCCAATCAAACGGCGTCGCAAGGCCCCCGCGGCGAAAGGTCAGCTCACGTGCGCGGCAAACACATGGCGGTGGCGGTGGCGGCGGGGTGGGGGGGGTGGGGCGGGGCGGTCTCCTGTCATTGCTTGCTAGCCCTCACGCCTCGCCCCGGGCCGTGGAGGGCGATGGGCGCGCGCGACTGGCTTGTGGTCGGTGCTTTGGGAGTGTTTTTCGGGTTTGGGAAACTTGATTCTTGGTTTGTGGTGGGGTGGCGTGGTGGTGTCGTCGTAGTCGTAGTCGTGAAGGTCATGCTCATGGTCGTTGTCATGTCGTCGTCGTGGTCATGTCGTTGTCATGGCCATGGTCGTCGTCGTCATCGTCATCGTCATCGTCATCATCATCATCATCATCATCATCATCATCATCATTCCATATATGTCGAAATATGAAATTGAGGAAAAGACCCAAATGAAATGCAGTTCCCTGTACAGGGCTCGACCTTAGCACCAGCCCGACGGTCATTGACTAGTAAACCCAGACGCGGCTAGTAAAATGCACTACTCCGCTAGCCCGGCGGACGAGTGGAAAGTAGACGGCCACAAATGATCGAACAGGTTCCACCCCAAGCAGAGAGTCTCGACCTGGAACTTTTTGTCGAGTAAGAAGTTACAATAAATTCATTGGTGACCTATTATCTAACTCAGCAAGCCGGGGTTTCGTTAATCTTTGTAAAATTCAATTTTGGGTAGCGCGGTGGGCTAGTTGAGAATAAATTTAAGCGCAAGGCCTGCTATTTGACAGGGGGAGGGGGAGGGGGAGTAGGAGGGGGTATGGAGAGGGGTGGTAGGAGGGTGAGGGGCAGTTAAATGGGGGTTGGGGTAGGGGAGGGGGAAGAGAGAAGAGAGAAGAGGGAGGAAGTGGGAGAGACAGGTGACACGTGTCGGTGGGGTGGGATGGTGGGGTGGTGGGGTGGGGGGGGTAGACACCTGTCTGTGGCGGTTGAGGGGAGTGGTCGCTCGGCACAGGTGTTCGAGAGAGGAAGCACTGTTCTATAAATTACAACTGCCTGTACTGAAAGCTACTTGAGTTACGATTGGGGGTTATCTGCCCAGGTGGTGGCTGTGAAGAAAATATTTGTTCCTTTGCTTATCATATCTTCGTTGGAGCAGTAAGCAGAAATGGCGATAACAGCCTTGATAAGATGTTATGTAACATGCTGACACACCGCTTTCATCTCCTAATGATATTCATAGAAGTTCGTAAGATTTTTTTTTTTCATCAAATGTGTTTTTCATTATCCTAATCCCTTCCCTTCCTCCCACTTCATCGTACATCATATTTTATCTTTCCCTTTTTTGTGTCCACATCCCCCCCCCTCTCCCTTTCATAACCAGTTTTCATTCATTTTTTTTCCCTCTTCCGTTACGTCAGATTTACAGAGGGGATAAGATGAGATTAGATGCAAGAGCAAAACATATATATATATACTCCACGTTAAATTTACCTTCATATTAAACCCCCCACTCCATTATCATCATGATCTTTATAATCTTCAGATAATATTCCAGTTCTCCCAACCCACATTTAATCAACAGTCTGTATCTCTCTCTCTCTCCCATTCTAGGTTATTTTGACATCCATCTTTCCCTCCTCTCCTGCATAAAATAAGCAACACTTTTGCTCCCTTTCTGCATTAAATAAGAAACACTTTTTCTCCCTTTCTGCACTAAATAAGCAACACTTTTTCTCCCATTCCATCCCAAATTAACATTTATTTTCTCCTGTTCCACATTGAATTAACATCTTTTTCCTTTTTTCCAGACTGTTCGAAGCGGAGGAGCAGGATCTCTTCGCCGACCTCCAATCTCTGCCTCGCAATGCAGCCCTCAGGAAGCTCAACGACCTTATCAAGCGTGCTCGTCTGGCAAAGGTCAGTTAGGCACTTATTTTTTCCTACTTTTTTCCCTTTATTTCGTTTTCTCCCTTACTCCTTCTTCTCCTCGTACTTGCTTGTATTCGTCGTCTTCTTTGCCTTTATTTTTGTCTTCAGTTGTTTTCGTCTGGGTAGTATGTTATTATATTTGGCTTCCATCTGGCAGTCCGGTTCCATCCCCCTGACCTGTTGGGGGCGTGGTCATCCCCTCTCTGGACGGCGAAAGGGGGTCTTTGGGACGGCAGCAACCATCTTGGCATCACACTGCTCAGTATACCATGCAAGGTTCTCGCCAACATTCGTCTGAGACGGATCCGAGACCATCTACCGAGGCACCAGAGACCGGAGCAATCTGGATTTACTCCTGGCAGGTCCACAATGGATCGTATCCTGGCGCTTCGGATCATAGTGGAACGCCGTCATGCGCTGCTCTCAGCCTACATCGCTCTCAAGAACTCAAGAGTGACTCTGTGCATCGCGAATCCCTCTCGGAGATCTTGAGACTCAGGGGAATTCCAGCAGTGATTCTTGGATTAGTAGCAAGCTTGTGTACTGGTACTGAGGGTGCTGTAAAGTTTAAAGGGTCCTATCGAGATTCTTTCCTGTTAATTCAGGAGTGAGGCAAGGCTGTGTTCTCGCACCATCAACTTTCAATACTTGCATGAACTGGATAATGGCTAGAGCTAGTATCCAAAGTCACTGTGGAGCAATGCTAGGTAATATCAAGGTCACTGGCCTTGATTTTGCTGACGATGTTGCTTTTCTTTCCGAGTCCCTGGAATCTCAGGCAGCAGATATTGATGCAGTCAGCAATGAGGCGAACCCCGTAAGTTTAAAGGTTTCCTGGACCAAGACCGAGATCCAGGATTTTGAGGGCCTTCTAGGAGAACCTGTACAGTCGATATATGCTTGCGGCGAGAACATCGAAGTCACCGAGAGCTTTACATATCTTGGTAGTGCCATGGACTCCGAAAGAGTATTTGGAGATGCCGGTACCTGCCAAGTCCAGGCGCGGTTCAACTGGTCTTGTGTACGTCTAGGACCTGACTTGTGTCCGAGTACCGATCCAGGCTAAGTGTTTCAACAGCGAAAAGCACCGCCGTAATAGACCGCACATGACTGGTGCTTGAATAACACCGCGCATAGTACGTCTCGTTTGAGCAACATGGAGCATGAGGACTTAATCCATGTTTCACCATAATTTCGTGTTTCATGGCGTATATATTTTTTTGAAGAAAAAAGCACGGAAACCAATATATCAGATTCAAAATTATAAACGCTAGGCTGAGGGGACGTCGACGCGAGTGTAGATCCTCAGTTTCAAATAAGCCATTTCTTGTTTTGGGAATAAAAACCGAATTTCGTGATTATTAACTCTAAATGTTTTATATAAAATCTGTCATATAACTTTTGTTGACTCTAGATAGTGGTAAGTTCTGTAAGCGAATTGCAGACAATGATTTTAAATTGCACCCTGGAAAGCCCGGAGATACCCGCGGAAAAGAACGCTCTTGTTATCGCTGGCTGTCCTCTCAGTCCCTAGATTTCGCACCAAAGTCACGCGATTTGGCCCAGATTGCCGAGCTTACGGCCAGAACTGCGCGTACACAAGACAAGTTGAACCGCGCCTTTCTTTACGTGTCTTCAGGTCCTCGATACTCTCAGTTTTTCTTTATGGAAGCGAACTCTACTTTATCTTGAGTCTTGGAGTCTCGTCTCGATGGCTTTCGTAACATGTCCTTGCGTCGGGTCATTGGGTACACTCGGCAGGACCATTTGTCCAACCAACGGCTACACCGTGAGTCCGGCATAGGACCCGTTACCTGCACAATCCAGGACCGCCAACTCGGGCTATACGAGCACCTAGCTCGTTTCCCCGTGGATGGCGAGACAACCCTGGGTGGAAGAGGCCCGTGGGACGACCTAGGAAGTTGTGGCCTTGGGCAGACTGACCATGCAGAACCTTTGCGGGTGGAAGCGAAGGGTGGATGCGGCTATGCGCCTCCTTCGGCGGCAGCGCCATTGATTGATGGATGGATTCATCTGACTGGTTATTTTTTCCTCATTTTCTTCCTGTCTTTTCTTTCTACACCTCTTTAAATCTTCACTTCTCACATCTTCTCTTCCTTCCCGAGACTGTTACTGCTGCTGCTCCTCCTCCTCCTCCTTCTCCTCCTCCTCCTCCTCCTCCTCCTCCTCCCCCTCCTCCCTTTTCTCCCCTCCTCCCCTTCTCCCCCTTTCTTCCCCCTCTTCCTCCTCCTTACCCTCCTTCCCCTCTCCTCCTCCCCCTCCTTCCCCTCTTTCTCCTCCCCCCTCCTTCCCCTCTTTTTCCTCCTCTCCTCCTCCCCCTCCTCCCTTCCCCTCCTCTCCTCTCTCTCCTCCTCCTCCCCCTCCTCCTCCTCCCCCTCCCTCCCCCCCCTCCCCTCTCCTCCTCCTCCTCCCCTCCCCTCCTCCTCCCTCCCCCTCCCCCTCCTCCTCCTCCTCCTCCTCCTCCTCCTCCTCCTCCTCCCTCTCATAAAAGGCCATTGCCCACCTATGACCTTACCTTATGACTCTTGACCCGCATGCAATTAAGACAATTATTGAGACAAGGTGTGGAGGTTATTTGAGCCTATCAGCCGTAATATTGTTGCACTGTTTAGGCTTCTGTGCTTTGATTTTAACATGGGTGGCTCTGTAAGAAAAGATCTTGTAATGCTATTGATAGTCAGTTGTGTAATTGGAATGTTGGGAGATTTATGTATGTGCAATTTGGACTGTGAGGTTTAACGCAACTATTTTCCTCTTTCTTCACCAACTACTCCTGTGAATCATCCACCTTCCCCCTCTTTGTCCTACCTTCCTTTCCTCCTTCCTCCTTCCTACTTTTCCTCCTTTCACCTCTTCCTTCTTTCTCCTTCCACCTCTTCCTTCTTCCTCCTTCCACCTCTTCCTTCTTCCTCCTTCCTCCTTTCTCATCTTCCTCCTTCCTCCTTCGTCTTCCACCTTCCTCTTCTCCTCCTCCTTCTCTTCCTCTTCTCCTCTTCCTCCTTCTCACCTTCCTACTTCCTCCTCTTCCTCCTCCCCTCTCCACTTCCTCCTCTTCCTCCTTCCCCTCTTCCACCTCCACCTTCCTCCTCTTCCTCCTTCCCCCTCTTCCACCTTCCTCCTCTTCCTCCTTCCCCTTCCACCTTCCTCCTCTTCCTCCTGTCCTCTTCCTCCTTCCTCCTCTTCCTCTTCTTCCCTTCCTCCCCTCCTCCTCCTCCTCCTCCATTTCCTCCTCTATTCTTCCAACTCTTTCCTCTTCTATATTTTTTTTCCTCCTCCTCCTCCCCTTCCTCTTCCTCCTCCTCCACCTCTTCCTCCTCCTCCACCTCTTCCTCCTCCCCACCTCTTCCTCCTCCTCCACTCCTACTCCTCCTCCTCCTCCTCCTCCTCCTCCTCCTCCTCCTCCCCCCCCTCCTCCTCCTCCTCCTCCTCCTCCTCCTCCTCCTCCTCCTCCTCCTCCTCCTCCTCCCCCCCTCCCCCTCTTCCACCTCCTCCACCTCTGCCTTCTCTTCCTCCACCTTCTCTTCCTCTTCTTCCTCCTCTTCCTTCACTTGCTCTTCCTCCTCCTCTTCCTCCACCTTCTCTTCCTCCACTTGCTCTTCCTCTCCTCCTCCTCCTCTGCCTCCTCCTCCTCCTCTGCCTCCTCTTTCTCCTCCTCCTATTCTAACTTCTCTTCCAACTCCTCTATCTTCCATCCACCTCCTCTTCCTCCTCCTCCTACTCCTCTTCCTTTTGATTCCTCCTTCTCCTCCTCCTCCTCCCCTCCTCCTCCTCCTCCTCCTCCTCCTCCTCCCCCCCATCCCTCTCTTCCACCTCCACCTTCTATTCCTCCACCTTCTCCTCCTCCTCCACTTCCTCTTCTTCCTCCATTTGCTCTTCCTCTTCCACCTCTACCTTCTTTTCCTCCTCCTCTACCTTCTCTGCCTCCTCTTTCTCCTCCTCCTCCTATTCTAACTTCTCTTCCAACTCCTCTATCTTCCCCCTCCTCCTCATCCTACTCCTCTTCCTTTCGACTCTTCCTCCTCCAACTTCTCCTCCTTCTCTTCCTCCTCCTCTTCCAGCTTCTCATCCTCTTTCTCCTCCTCCTCCTATTCTAACTTCTCTTCCAACTCCTCTATCTTCCCCCTCCTCCTCATCCTACTCCTCTTCCTTTCGACTCTTCCTCCTCCAACTTCTCCTCCTTCTCTTCCTCCTCCTCTTCCAACTTCTCATCCTCTTCCTCCTCTTCCTTTCTTCTTCTCTTCCTTTCTTCTTGTCTTCATCCTTCTCCTCCCTCCTTCCCCTCCTCCTTCCTTTCTTCTCATAGACAATGGCCCTTTTTTGCACGCGAAATTCAGTGAAGATACGAGGCATTAGTCATCATTTCGTCATTGAGGTTTTTGTTCTTGTGGCAAAGTGACTCTGCAATACGAGGGGGCACTGACCTAAAAAGATGTAGTTCAGGTCCTTTTTGCCACGGTGGCCTTTAGAGCGAATTCCCTCTTTTAACGCGTGCAATGGGTGATGGATTATCTCTTTCTCTGCCACTTTCTCTTTTCCACTTCTTTCACTCTCTGATGAAGATAATTCGAAACCGGTCCAATACGTCTCCTGTGTTGTGAACATATTCATTCTCATTCATACCTTTTCTACATTTGTTAACGGGAATACGGTTTACTCTCGGGGTTTGGGGTTTCGTCTCTAGCTCCTCTCCTCCTTGACTTTTATTTTTTTTATTGGCTCTCAGTTTCACTCATTCCTTTCTTTCTTTCTGCCCCTCTTGCCTTCATTTTTGTTATTTTCATCATCATTTAGTATCATCATCATCATTGTTGTTATTGATCATCATCAGATTAAGTATCACCATTGCAATTATCATTAATATAGCTGTATTGTTATTTTAGTAGCAGTAGTAGTAATAGTAATAATAGTAATGATAGTAATAATAGTAATAATGATAATAATAGTAATAATAGTAATGATGGTAATGATAGTAATTTTTGTAGTAGTAGTAGTAGTAATGATAATAGTAATAGTAATAGTAATAGTAGTGGTAGAAAGATTAGAAATAATAGAAGTAGTTGTGATAGTAGAAGTAATAATTGAATTAGCCCTAGTTGTAATAGCAATAGTTATACTAGAAGTAGCAGTAGCAGTAGTAGAAGTAGAAGCAATGGTAGTAGTAGTAGTAGTAGTAATCATACTTTTATAATTGTTATTGATAGCTATTCTTATGATTAGTAGCAGTAGCAATTTTAGTAGTAGTAGTCTTGTTATTATTGCTGTTATTGTTATGTGTCATTGTTTTGGCAGTAGAAGCATTTGTTGTTGTAGTTGTAGTGTTATTACAATTACTGTTATTATTATTATTGTTGATAGTAGCCTAATCATATCATTTTTGTCAATTATCATTATTGGTATGTTATAATAATCCTTATCTTTATCATTGTTCTTTTATTTTTTAGTAGCACTATATTTTATATGCTCTGTATTTGTTATTATATATTAACAATTAATTTTCACTCTTCTGTTTGATTTTGAAAGTGTGTGTTATCTATGTATTTTTTACATTTGTTTACACATCACTTATTTATAATTATGATTGCAGTATTTTGTTGACTTGTTTTGTTGTTCCCCTTGATATTAGTGTTGATACTTGTTGTGCACAGTTTATTATTATTATTATTATTATTATTATTATTATTATTATTATTGTTATTATTATTATTATTATTATTATTATTATTATTGTATAATGCGTTTCACATCTAAGGCACCTTAAATACTATATAGAGCTAGAAAATGCACATGTAGCTCTATGTCTAAAACTAAAAGACAAGAAGAAAGAGAAAGGGACATAGTGTATCATAGATAACAGAGACAAAGTTATTCTAATTATGAAAGTGGATAGTTATGGTTAAGTCTGTAAACAATAGATAGGGAGAAGAAGAAGAAAAAAAGATGTAAGAATATCATACACCCTACTATTATTTCTACTTACTCCACTTCCATCTCAAACTGTCATTACTATCATTATTACCACAACTAGATCACTAACACTACTGCTAATACCACAAAATAACTATTGGTACTACTAATTTTACGATTACTACTATTAAGTACAACTGCTACTAAAGACACCACTTCCACCACAACTGCTACTCCCTTTACAACCACCACCGCAACCACTACCACCTAATTATTGACAAAACCTGTAATTTTGCCTTACTTATCATACTCTTCCTCCCCACAGGTCCACGCCTACATCATCTCCGAGCTCAAGAAGGAGATGCCTTCAATGTTTGGGCGCGAGAGCAAGAAGAAGGAACTCATCAAGAACCTCGGCACGATCTACGAGAAAATCCAACGAGAACACCAAATTTCTCCAGGAGATTTCCCTGAGATCAAGCGCATGCAGGTGAGTTGAGTGAGTTGAGTGAGTTGAGTGAGTTGAGTGAGTGAGTGAGTGAGTGAGTGAGTGTGAGTGAGTGAGTGTGAGTGAGTGAGTGTGTGAGTGTGTGTGAGTGTGTGTGTGTGTGTGAGTGTGTGTGTGTGTGTGTGTGTGTGTGTGTGTGTGTGTGTGTGTGTGTGTGTGTGTGTGTGTGTGTGTGTGTGTGTGTGTGTGTGTGTGTGTGTGTGTGTGTGAGTGTGAGTGTGTGTGTGTGTGTGATGTAATGTAGGTGAATGGGTCTGGGTGTAACTGATATATGTGTAGATACATGCATGTCTGAAGTCATGTATGAAAATATATTCCTACAGTGATTCTATGAATTAGATTTAAAAAGGAAATTATGTAAAGCACTTGTCTCAAGAACAAGAAGGCAGCAAGTTCTTTCCATGCAGAGAAATGCAAAGGTAGTAGGATAGGTGTATCAGGTTTCCGTAATTGTGTCTGAATGGGTAAAGAATAGAAATTGTTGAGATGTTCATTCCTTGTCCTGGCAAAGGAGGGGGATGTGCGCCTGTGCTTGTGCTTGTGTTTCTGCTTTGTCCATAGGATTAGAGTATGGAGGAGCCTTTGAGTTTTTGTATGTAATTTTTAACTTTTAGATATGCCAATGTAATCAGTCATATGTGCTCTGGATAGTTAAAGAAGAAGAAATGCCAAAGTGGATGGTTTGAAAATATTACCGCATTCCTAGGTCAGTCCTCTGAATACTAGTTGATATGATGGGCTTAGTAACATATTCTTTTTGCCTAGGTTTATTTCATAGATTGCCCAGAACATAGACCACAGGACAGAATTTTTTTTAATGGAAATAAATTTTTTTGACACCCATTAGTTATCTGCATATTTGTACAATTCTTCTATTCTACCTTACTCATACATGTTTTGAAACACTTAAGTTGCCTTAATGTTATAAGTATTATAGTCAACATACTTTATTCCTTTATAATTTGGCTAGATACCCATGATATTATTTCACTCGATTGCCGTAAACTTGTAATCTGGAAGGTATGGTACAAAATAACCCTTCTCATATATACCTTGATGATAAAGTTAAATTCACCTTACTGAAATATTTTGTTCAGCAAATTTTCCTTACCTTTTCAGGCATTATACTTAACTTTCTCTAACTTTATACTATTACAAGTATTGTGCCCAAGTAAACCCATCATGTATTCTCATCATTATCGTTATACTTATTACTGTTCTCGCTTTCATCAGCCTTATTCCCATGGATCCTAATTACCTGACCTTTCATAACCAGCTCAACCATACACATCCTTATATTAAAAATAAAAAAGAAACCTGTTATTATTTATGTCTCCATATACACAGGATCAACTCCAGCACCATGACTTCACCAAATTCAACTTGATAAAGCCCCGTCTTCTGGAGGCAGTCGACAAGATGCTGGCCGAGGACATTGCCCGCCTGATGGCCATGATCCCAGTAGAAGAAGCCACGTCCAACAAGGAAGCCGCCATTATCCGGGGTAGGTGATTGGCCGTCTTTTGTAGGGAATAGCTCGGGTGAAAGGAGGAGTTCGGATGAGGAGAGAGAACAGTGGATAGAAGCTTAGAGAGAGTTTCAAGAGTTGTAAAGAGATCCATGTATAGTCTTCGAGGTGAGAGCCTCATAGAAAATCCCTGGTATGGTTTACTGTGTTCTTCAGTGGAATTGTGTTCCAAGGAAATGGGGAAAGTGTCGCTGGTTAGGCTGCACAGAAGTTGGGAATTGCCCTGATATTCTGTTAGTCATTTATATTTTGTTTTGATATACATGGTAAGGTATTGACCTTTTTTTTTCCCCCCTAGTATATATGTATATGTATATATATATTATGTGCATATATATATATATTATGTGTATATATATGTTATGTGTATATACATACTTTTTCTTTTCTCGTCTTTTTTTTCTTTTTCCTTTTTTTTCTCTTTTATGTGTATCTAATTTCCTGTATTTATGTTATCTTGGTGATTTGCACTTTGAGTCATACGTGATATAATTTTGCTATCTACTTTTATATGTAATTAAATTGTTCAATAGATGTAGAGAATATACATAGAGATAGATACATGTTTTCTGTGTGATTATTTTACTGTGTTATAAGTTGTTAGAACTAGAAGATAGAGCTTCGTGGTTGTTCCAGTTTTATATTGTGAGTAATACATAGGCCTAAGTGTCACACGTCATTAGAAATATAAAACATATGAAAGGGAATTGACGTATCTTTTGATAGTAAATCTAAATAGCGTTTTATTAGCTTCTCTTAAACTTTATCAGATAACACAGAACCTCCCACTCCATTCACCTCCATTTTTTTTTCTTTTTTTCTTTCTTTCTTTTTCGCTTGTGTCGATAAGGTATTAGTTGGCGCACCTTTAACAGCATAGTGAATTAATACTGAACAGAGCAGAGGATGATAGTCTGTTGGTACTACAATTAATACTACTTTAACAAATAACAGAACTACACTAAAGGTACTTTCTTTACTATAGGATCATTCCCATGTGTTAAATGTGTTCTCAATCCTTTAATATTATTATGAACTAGAATATATGTATATTGTCTTTTTTTTAGAGGGGTAGGGGAATTATATGCATAGGAATTTTGCATTACTTTGCAGTTATTATTTATGTATTGAATGACTCAGTTTGGTTCTGTCCTTAATCTGTACTTGGAAACTACTGCATTTGTTGTATGGCTTAGCACATTTCTTATTCTTTAGATAATAGTCAGTCCATAATTAGAGTATTGCAAATATTTTTTGACGAATAGTTCATGAGTAAGCAGTCGGAGGATAAGAGTCTATGATACAGCATAGTTCCCCGTATCGTGATTAACAAAAAAAATGGTCTATCAACACTTCATTAGATATAACAACAGAGTAATTTCTGATTTGGTTATCACTTATGACGTTCCCCAAAGAGCAATTCTTAGTATCCTATTACTTTCCAATTAGCTCAGTGACATTAACACTTCAGTTAACATGGGATGACATTATATTTGGTTGATAGGAACATCCTGCCTCTTAGGAAATAGGAAATAGATATGTTTATTTGCTCAAGAGGCTTGGATATCAAGAAATAGGTCTTATAAGTTATTGGTTATTTGGACCTATCAATGTAACCTTAGGGTGTGGCTGAACTTTAGGGTCCAACCATTTTTTTAAATTTTCATTGTTAGTGTATTATTCATGTAGTGCCTCACCCATTGCCTAACCCATATGGCATGTCCTCTCAAACTGTAGTTTCTTTTTTTTTCTTTTTCTTTTTTTCCCATAGATGGCTCCACATGTGCTTAGTCACCAAAGACTCAAGTGGTAGCTGTACCCATCTCACCTGTTTACCCTGTTCCTTGAATTTTATTTTTATTTACTTATTTTTCTTTGCTATTAGTATTCATAGCAACATAGTAATCATAATATCAGTATTGGTTTATAACACTGTCAGTATGAATAGGAAAGGGGATTTCAGGGGGGACCACAAAGGCCCATTAATTGGCTTTTCAGTGGCTGAGGGCTTGTTTAGTCACCCATGTATAAGTGCAGTTTGCAAAAGTTATGTACAGTGGCATTATATTCATGTTCCTGGCAGTAATGGGCTGAAATTATATACTTAAGAATTTCTTAGGTCATTATTATTTTATCATTATTTATTAGCAATGTATTAAAAAAAGAAGTAATCTTATTGATATTCTGCTTTCTTTTCTACTTTCAAAATTTGCCTTTTTTCTCTCTCTCTCTCTCTCTCATTTTGATATTTGCCAGTCTGTGCTATATCCTCACAGATATATTACCAAGATATTCCGTAAGTGCAGTTAGATAGAGAAATAGATGGAAAGAATAGAGGAAGAGTAAGAATTAGAAGAGTATTAAGAGTTATTAAGATGTAATTACGTGTCATATCCAAGTAACTATATACAGCTGCTCATGCCACAATAGTACAGGATTCTTAAGATAGACAGTATGTGTGTGTCTGTAACTAAAACCAATTTTAGGAAATAATGGATGATATTATACCAAGGTGTTGTGCTATACAGTATATTGTGTATATCAAGTCGCCCTCCTCTTCGTTATCTGTGTTGAATCTTATATTGTGTGGCCAGCGCTGATAAGAGATAAGCATTGTTTAGACAGATGACCTCTTTATTAATTTTGTAAGAATGAGAATGACAGCTTTTGTAGCTCTGTTATAGATATTATTTGAATCTACGTCCATATGTGCATTTATGTGGATTTGCACACAAGCACATGCATAAACATACAGGTACACAAGCAAATATGTATATTATTGATACACATGTGCATACAAATGCATATATACCTTCACATGTAGTTTACAGACACACACACCACACATGTGGTAGTTATTTTAATGAGAGAAAGAGAGAATGAGAGAAAAGAAAAAGAGCTGTTTTTTCATGCATTTTATATCCATGAAGTGAAAATGTTTTATATAAAAAAAAAAAAAAAATCATCTAATTATGTTTTATAACTTACTTGTATACATACATTATGAGGCTGAAGAATTCTGCGGTTATAGGAAGTGTAAGTCAGTGTCAGACACACCATACCTTTGCTTTTTCAAATTTTAATAATTTCAATAAGGGGAATGTTTTTTTAACAGTTACAGATGTAAAATATGTTGGCTTGCGATAAGCACAGTTGATCTATTTACAGGTGAGTAAGTGAGTGAGTGACTGTACATTTTACTATTTTTTGTGGGTAGTAGCTTTGAGAAAACAAAAACAAAAACAAAACAAGGCTACTAATCTATAAAGCTAATGGATGCATTAAAGACTACAGAGAAAATTATCCGTTCTTTTCAGTGTTTTATTTTTCTAATAAACTCCCTCTACCCCTATAGCATACAAAAACAAGAGAAATCGCTGCAAAGACATTTTGTCACCTGATTTCATTTCCGGTAAATGATGATATACTTTCACATGTGATGAAGTATGCTGAAGGGAGTGGTGTGTCGCACAAATATAACGCGTGTTCTCTGGGTATTTCTTTGGTCTTGTCGCAAGGTTTGATTCATAAAACCATCAGCTTTTTTCCTTCTTTCTCTCTGTCTTTCTTGGTCTTTTTTTCCTGTTCTGTTTCATCTATTTTCATCTCTTTTTTTTCTCTCTCCTTTTCTTTTCGAAATCTCTACCTGTCTTTGTCTGTCTCTCGAAATCTCTCTCCTTTCTCTATCTCTCTCTTTTCTTTCCTCTTGCTCGCTCCCCTCCCCCCCCTTTTTCTCCATTCTCTTCTTTCTATGCAGAGGACAACTTCCTTATTAAACTTTCATTTAAGCTCGCTAACTTTCCATATATCAGGTGCAGGACAGTCAAGGATCTTATTGCTTAATTGGTTCTGTGAGTTTCCAAGGAAGGTGTACACAAACATTTGGTCGTATAACCTGTATATGTGTCATATAATTTACACTCTCGCAAGTTATTCTTAGTGCCTGGATTCCCCAAAATGTCAAAGGTATTGCTTCGGGCGGCAGATGATGTGTCTCTCGGGCTGAGCGGAGCAGCTGTGACACTTATTATACCAACTACGAGCGTCGCTAGTACTAACGTGTAACGTAGCCGATCGCCCTGTACTTACTCACAACCACTCACATTGCGACACCAAAACTCAATGCTTCACACACACACACAAACACACGTACACACATGGATTGACTGAATTAACAAGCTCCACACGGATTTTTATGAACGAATACTACTGAATTAATATAATCACAACTGCGTAGAGTGCTCATTTACGATGCTTTATACCTTCAACCGATCTATTCTTCAGAAATAACGCTGGTGTTTCGTCTCTCCATGGACCACACAAGCTTGTGCTTAGTATTGCACTAAAATAGTATCTTTCAACTCGGCATTATTTAAGAATAAAAAGCAGGTTGCTAACCTGTACTATTGCAGATATGAACTTCTGCATGAGCCTTCCTATTTAGTGCTATGCCATTGTTCATAAAAACATAATACAACTTAATTAAGACACTAGAAATGGTCAACTTCATAGGTCCTCCCAAATGCAGCCTGCTGGGTTTGAGCGGAGCCCACAAGACATACGATCGCGATAGCTCCGCAGCAAAGAGGAGAGCGCGTCTTGCCAGGTCCGGTATAACGCTGGCGGCATGCACCAAAAATTTCAAATTGACAGCCATTTATCGACCGTCGACTTGAGTGTTAAAGGACAGGCTGTGCTGTGGTCATGAGAGCCCCTACCAGTCAAGCTCAAGACTAAAAATTGCGTAGTATTCTCTGCGCACTCGACTCGTCTCTCAATAATACAATCTGCGTTGCACTCATTCCACCGTATGCTGCCCTACCCGTCTCTACAAAAACCATAATAAGTATTATAAGCCCATCAGAACGAAACTCTCGGACGCTTCTTGATGCTCTTGCTATAAGTGACTTCATTTTCAGTCGATGCGATACCAAGTGTTACCGACCGGCTACATATCCATACTGATTATCTGTGCA